AGAGACACTGCCTGACTCCTCCTTTCCCAGGGATAAAAGTCAGCACTCACTTACCTATTGTGCCAGCCAGGTAGGGGCAGGGAAGGTAGCCAGCCCTTCCCTAGCTCCACCCCCAGTCTAGTCCAAAGGAGCACCCAATCACCCATCCCTATACCCTGCCATGCCTCTCAACCTGTATCCTCCACCTTGGCTGGGGCTGGACCCCAGAAATCAAAGAAAAACAGGGGGAGCACATGGTCAGTCAGGTAAGGTCCAGAATGAGGGCTTCTTATCTCCCTAGGGCAGCTCTCTTAGGCAAGCCCACCATCAAGTGAGAGGATATTGGGAAGGTCTCCCCATAGTAATGTCAGCTCAGGGCCTGCTCTGAGCCAGGTTATCTCATTTAAATTTCACAATCAGGCCAGGTATGGTGGCTCATGCCTATAAGCCCAGTATTTTGGGAGGCTGAGACAGGAAGATCGCTTGAGCCCAGGAATTCAAGACCAGCCTGGGCAACACAGCAAGACTCCATCTCTACAAAAGTTGTAAAATTAGCTGGGCGTGATGGGGCACATCTGTAGTCCTAGCTACTTATGAGGCTAAGGTGAGAGGATCACTTAAGCCCAGGAGGTTGAGGCTGCAGTGAGCCATGATTGCACCACTGCACTCCAGCCAGGGTGACAACATTAGACCGTGTCTCTAAAAATAAATAAATAAATAAAAATAAAATAAACTTGACAACCAAGTTCAAATGGTGTTCTCATTATTCCCATTTTACAGATGCAGTCACTGAGGCCCCAGGGAGTTAAGCGATCTGCCTAAGATTCCATGCCTTTGTTTATACATGTTGGAATTTTTCAGTTCTCTCTGGAAATCCAGATCCTCTGCCCCCACCCAGACTCAAACACAACTGCTCCCACCACGGCCCACCTGCGCACCCCACACATATCCTTGAAGTGTAGTCTTCCTCCCATCCTTCCCCAGGAAGATTCCCTGGTCTGTGGGGTAGCAAGTGTTGGGGTGGTCTCTCCTCCCCTCCCATGCTTCTAGATTCCTCTGTGGGGTCCCAATTTTGTTTTTGGAGTGGCAGCACGCTCACTGCCTTTTTGAGTACTGTATGCCAGTGGGCTTGCATGCACGCAGCTGGAGGAGGGCTGTGTGGGCATGAGGGGTGTCTGGACAAGTGGGCTTACTTGCCCACCTGGGGCACATGCGGGCACGCTGCGGTGGAATATACATTGCCTAGGTTGTGACTGTGTGTGCCTAGGCACAGGCGAATGAGCCCATGTGGGTGTTCATGAAGGGCCTGCCCCCTGCATGTTTGGGGGTCTGTAGAATGAGTCCCCACTTCTCTCCCCTTCCCAAATAACTGCCACCAACTTCAGTTCAGACTCCTGGGCCCCAGGTAAGGGGCTGGTGAAAACCGCCTCTGACTGGGAACAGAGACACCTGAGTCTCAAGCCCCACCCAGGCTGCTAGTGCCCTTGAGCAGGCATCACCCCACCCAGGCAGCAGGAGTGTCCTCACCCAATGGGATAGGGTGACATGGGGGAGGAGGTTTGAAGCGGGGAGAAAGCAGCGAGGCTTTCAGCTCTCCAGATGGGAGGCTCATTGCCCTAGCACTCAGTAGGTTGTAGGGAAGGGGGACTGAGCCAGGACTTGGCACTGACTACAAAGGGTAGGGGGCAGCACCCAGCACTCCCGCCGTGACAGGCCAGGGGAGGGGCTGTGACGTTTGGTGGCCTCATGCAGCTGAGAGGAAGTAGCTAATTGCCAACCTGATGACTGGCGGCTGAGGAGTGGGGTGATGATGCCACTGGCAGAAGCAGGCGCCCTGGCCCAAGGAGGAGGCCCTTCAGTGATGGAGTGGGCCTGCATTCTGCCTGCGGAGGGTGAGACTGAGGTGGCTGCAGTCAAAGGAGAAGGGGGCAGGGGTTTGTTGAGGCTGTGACCGTGGGAAAGCGCTTCTCCAGGGCTTCCCTCAGCTTCAAGGGGAAAGAGTTCAGAGGCCCTGAGGGGATGAAGGGACTTGGGAAGGGGCTTCAGGGGGATGGGTTGGGGGGAAGGAGGTTCCTATTCTTGCTCCCCTTCTGTCTATGCTCCCCCAGTGTTCCTGTCTCTCCCCTCCCCCACCTTAGCCCCCTCTTTGGCCCCTGTGGCCAAAGCTGTTAAGGAAAGAGGGAGTGGACGAGGGTTCTTTTCACCAGAAGACCCCCAGGCACAAGCAGCCCACCTCACTGATGGTCAGAGCATCCAGAAGAAGTGGCGAGACTTCAGCTGTCCTCAAAGCAGGAAGAGAGAGTGTTTCTGGCAGAAAGAACAGCACAAGCAAAGGTTAGGCAGTGGGGTCTGGAGAGGCTGATGGAGGACTGGGACTTGGTTTCAATGGTTATGAGAGGAGGTGGGCGGATGTTCTGCACCAAGGGCCACACTGTCCTTCCCGGAAGAAACCGAGGGTACCCAGCACCCAGAGCTTCTCCCACATGCTGGCCACTGCCTCTGGCCCTAGCAGACCTGGCCCTCAACTGTCTGAGCAAGCCTCACAGGATGGGGACCCCACCTCCATTATTTCCAAGTGCATCAACCCCAAAGAACTGAAGCCCTGAGTTCCAATAAACAGGTCCCATCCATCTGTAGGCCAGTCAGCTGGGCCCCTAGCACCCCCTATGGGCAGTAAGCAACACTAATGGAGGAGGAGCCTCCAGCAGCCTGGGGTCGGGGTGGGGGTGGGAGAGTGAGGGGTGAGGCAGGAGACACAGACTTGCCCTCTAGGAAGCACACAGACCATGCCTCAGGAAACCCCAGTGTCACAGGTCACAGACACTGACCGTGAAGTGTTACTCTCATGGGTGAAATTTAGCCCCTGTCCTCAGGAAGCTCCCAGTCTGGTGGGGCCACATATAGTGCTCTCAGCTGCCTTCTTTAGGGTGAAATTCAGCATCTGGCTTCAGGAAACTCCCAGTGTAAGGGGAGAGACATGACCCCTGCCTTTAGGGATCTCTCAAATGGGGGAGACCCACTGGATTTTCGGGAACCATCAATCTGTTTCCAGACATGGATTAGACATTTCAGTGCCTCAAGGGCTGCCAGGAAAAACAAAATACAAGACATCCAATTAAATTGGATATCAGATAAACAACGAATAATAGTTTAGCATAAGTCTGTCCCATACAATATTTGGGACAGACTTAGGCTATTTAAAGTATTCAGTTTAACTGGACCTCCTGCGTTTTTATTTGCCAAACCTGGTAACCCTAGGTGCCTCCGGTTTGAGGGAGGAGAGAGGACACCCCCTCCACCCCAGACGTGGGAAAGCAGGTAAACACCTCGGCGTGCTCCGGAGGGCAGGGGTGGGGCAGGAGGAGAGTCCTGGGGCTCCGGCTCGCGGCAGTTTAAAATTCCTTCCAGGCCAGAGCCCTAATCCCTCGGTGCACAATGGCCGCCTTCTCCCCCGCCGCCAGCGCCCACGCCCTCCCCCGCGGGGCCGTGGCAGTGCCACCAAGGGCCTCTTTAAGCCCCTTTGAAGCCGCGGAGCCCCGCGCCGCGGGAGGCCTCGCCGCTATGCCAGCTATGCCAGCTATGTCCCTGCTGCCGCCGGCCGCCACCGCTCCCCCATTAATGCTGGCTAATCTGGCTAATAAATAAACTCCCCTCCCAGCCCCAGCCCCAGCCCCGCGCCGACTCCCCCCCGACCCCGCAGAATCGATGTCAGGGCTCGACTAGAGCAAGCGGCCCCACTCCACCTCACTCCCTCGAGATGTAGTTGACGTTTTTTCTTATGGCTGCCCTAGGTCTGAGCCCGTCTCTGATTCTCGGGGAGACGTGGGATTTGGGAGGTCTCCGCCTGGCCACTGCGTTTGCCTTCCTCTTTTCCAGTCCACCTGCGCACCAGGGGCAGGGCACGTGGCTGGGTGAAGACGCTGGCCTGGATACGGAGGACTCGCGGGCTGGCAGAGCGCGCGGCGGCGGCGGCGGGAGGAGACGCAGGTCACGCCCCCTTCCCGCCGCCGACGGGGCGCGCGCGCCGAAGAGCCCGGGACAGGTGACTCCTAGAGGACTGCGTCTGCACCTCC